CTGCTGGACACCTTCACCGCCAACGTCGCGCAGCTGATGGATGCCAGGGACGGCGCCAATCTTGTCCACTTCGTCGAGGAACACAATGCCTGTCTGGGCACGATCCACATTGTAGTTGGCATCCTGCAGCAGCTTGGAGATGACGCTCTCAATGTCCTCGCCGACGTAACCCGCTTGGGTGAGGGTCGTGCAGTCGCAGATGGCGAAGGGAACGTCCAGGCAGCGGGCAATCGTTTGGGCAATCAGCGTCTTGCCCGATCCCGTGGGACCCAGCATGATGATGTTGCTCTTCTCCAGCTTCACGTCGGTGGACTTGTTGTCCAGTATCTCGGAGCCGGCGCGATTGTCGCCGCCGCCGCGTCCTGAATGATTGCCCAGGCTGCTGCCCAGACCACCACCCATGCCTCCGCCCATGCCCATCTGTGCGGGTTTTGGGGGCAGCTCGTTGCCCGGCGTGCTGTTCAAGGTGTGACCAATGCCTGTGATGTGCAGGAGATCGGGACGCGGAATGCCGTCCAGCCCGCTGCCTCCCTGTCCGCCATGGCCGCCGCCCTGCTGCTGCTGCAGCTGTGGCAGATTGTGGTGGATGCGCTTGTAGTGATTGTAGACCGCCACGGCGAGCACTTTCTTGGCAAAGTCCTGGCCCACCACATGCTTGTCGAGGTACTCCATGATTTTCTGGGGCGGCGGAGGCGGCTTGCGCTGGTTCTTCGGCTCGTCCTTGACCCGCTGCTTGGTCTCCACCTCGGAGAGCACCACAAAGAAGTAGTTGCACTTGGCGCACTTGACGAATCGCGTCGAGCTGACGAACGTCTCCACCTGCGTGCAGGCACTACCGCACTTCGGGCACGAGAGAAACTTGTCGCCACCGCCGGGCGGATCCCCACCGCTCGTTGTGCTCGCGCCACCAGCACTCGAGCCAGCTCCAGGGATCTTTGAGGTGCCGCCACTGCTGGCGCTGCTGTTGCCGCCACTCCCGCTGTCGCTTGTATCCTCTGGCGGCTGCGTCGTTCCATTGGTGATGTCAATGTACGCGGGTATATTCATGACGGGCTCCAGTACAATCTGCCTGTTGGCAGCGCATTGGTGTGTGGCCAAGTGGAAGCGTCTCCCGCCACACACTCCTGGCCCAGCACCTTCTGCTGCTGCTGCATTCCGCCGGCTCAGTATCACACATTTGGCTGTGTGCTGTGTGGTAGGTACTCCGCCACCTAAAAAGAACAACACAAAGAAGGAATCAGTGGGATGTTGCCTTTTAAAAAGACATTCAATAAAATAATGGAATCATTGACCCTGTACTCTTCAAAGGTTAATAGCATGGGAATCCATATAAAAGACAGATAACAACGCAAAGAGGGAGATATATATATATATATATAGAGAGAGAGAGAGAGATTTCAACCGCAGAATGCAAAACAAATACAGGCCAAGGCCAATTCGCATCTTCCGATATCAGCGATGATAGATGACTGGCGAAACTATCTTTTTCACACTCTTAGCTTATTGTCACATCATGGATCATAATTGGATCTATTTACAGGTAACTGTGATGCCTAAGAGTGGATAATGGAGCACTTTCGCTCAGTGTAGGATTTACCGCCATTAACTTCCGCAAAAGATCGCTTTCCCAGCTAACCCGTAGGCCCACAAATGTAATAGCAGACTGCCGGGCCTGGCCTGGCTATTAAATAGATCAAAGGAGAAGGGACGTGTGAGAAGCTTCTTACGCGTCACAACTTTTATACCCGGCACTCAGTACTACTTCTGCACCTTAGCGGTGTTTTGTCAAATTTAACATTTTTTCTTCATCTACATCTACAACACTTCTCACACCAACACGCTCCTTTAGCTCGCAAAAATAACAAATATAAGCTGCGGGACGGGGTGGGTTAAAAGTCCGCAGAGGCAGAGGCCGAGTGAAGCAGAAGCAGAGTGTGAATGAGAGAATGTGAAAAAAACAACAAAAGCTGCGGGACAGGGTGGGTTTAGCCAGTGAAAATTAATTTCTTCATTGTGGCTATAATAATGATCCAATCGGATCCCAATTTGGTGAACTGATAGATAGATAGATTCCCTATGTTCCCATTCCGAATGGAGTTTTTAGTTTTCTTCTTTTCTTCTTTTCTTTCTTCAAAATTGTAGATTTTCGTCGTTCTGCCAAACATTTGGTGGCTCTAACTTTTATGGTCTCTGAGATTCAGACACTCAACAAGACGGACGGACGGACAGACATGGCTCAATCGGCTCGGCTATTGATGCTGATCAAGAATATATATACTTTATGGGGTCGGAAACGTCTCCTTCTGTTCGTTACATACTTTGTGCACAAATAGAATATACCCTATTTACCAGGAATAAAAACTTATGCCGTCGACCACCAGGATATGTAATAATAAAAAATCATTGCGTCAGACGCCGAGCAGATCTCATCCACAGGTAATATTTAAGCAACTTTTTAAGACAATTCAAGTTCAGTCCAAAGACCAACAAAAAACGAGAAACGAAGGTGCCGAAGGCGCAGCATTTGATACTCTTTTGCAGATCGATTGTTGCTATCTAAAATCGATAGATTTTATTGCAATCATACCCTTTCTTATGAAGTGCATTACAACACCTCATATAGTGCCTAATTGGGGAAAGGTACGAGGCAACCTCGTACCTCAAAACGATCGAACCACTATCGATAGCCTGATACATCTGATCCCCTCGGGAGCGACGCCTCTGTGCGGGATGTTGACCGCGAGAGCAGCTTTTTTGATACCAAAAGAAGACGACCTTCACGTAGAGTGGCCCAGAGGCGCATCTTGTGACGCCGTATGTGGGGGGCCTGGCTAGAAAATTCTGATAAGCCAGATAGGTAACAGCAATCGGAATTGGATTCATACGAAAGCAGCTGCACCAGCAGGAAATGACGCAGTTACGTATGCGATGCGATGATTTTAGCAGCAACAGTATCCCAGTAGCCAAGAGGGAAGAACAAACTTACCCTTTGCCCAGACGCTGTATTTAGGGCCCAACAAGATAATCCGCCGCACCATGCTCATAATGGCTACTGCCCGCTTCACTTCACTTCACTCTTCTCTCCCCTGCTTATCCACTGCCTGCGGAAGTCTCAGCTGAGCGCTGCTTCTGCTCCTCTGTTCCCTGTTGATACTGCTGATCGTTGGAGTTCTTGCTTCGAGACTGTTCCTTTAGACGTTGCTTCTAGACAAACTTAAAAACGCTTTGCCGTCCGCTTGGTTTACGACGCAATTGTGTTGATTTTTTCGCCTGCCACTGCTATTTTTTTTTGGTGGAAAATGGGGGGAAGGAAAGAGATTGCGCTCGGCACGTAATGTGTTTCGCTGTGTGCGTGTATGTCGATTACTTCTGCTGTCTCCGATTGCTTCTCCACCTTTCGTTGGCTGTATGGTGTGGAGGCTGACGGCTGCTACTTTGCGGCGCCACGACAGCTTTGATTATTGCACTTGTTTTTGCTTAAAACCTCTAACTAGAGTATGGATTAAACACAAATATTGCCAGCGGGCTGTAACAAGAAAAATCTTCCCACTGAACTGTCTTTTAGTGCAATCGATAGCTCAATCGATACTCGCGAACAGCTGGTTTCTCTCTTCCTCTTCTTGTCACAACGCACCGTGGGCCAAGTACAACAATTTCGGAAAATGGAAATAACAAGAAATTTGGACTGTTGTGAGGCCAAGACGTCTGTTAATTTGGAAAACAATAAAAAACTGATATTTGTCAGTTTTGTAAGACATCTATTTCCATTTGAGTAGATTTTCAATGGGCCCATAAAAACTTAGTCTATAATTGTTACAGTGTCTATTTCTATTAGTAACCAGGTATGATGCGACCCTTCTTGCTGGCCTTCTTCAGCTTCGTTTTCTTCTTGTCCTTGCTGCGCTTCTCCAGATTATCTTGCCGCTTCTTTTGTCGCTTCTCCTTGTCGTAGTCCACCTTCTGCTTGCGCTCCGACCACTTTGTCTTGGCCTTCTTCTTCTCTACCTTGCGCTTCTTGATGGACTTCAGCAGAAGCTTGGGATCATCCTTCACCTTCTTGCCGGCAACCTTGTCGAACGCCTTCTTCCACGCAATATCCGTCTGCATCTCTGCCGCCTTCTCCGTCTCGCCTTGCTCCTTCAGCTCGTTGATCTGTTTCTTGGTGTCCTTCAGCTTCTTGAGGATTTCCTTGGGATTCTGATGCGACTTCTTCTGCTTTCCGCCGGGTGTGGCGGCAAAGTCCACCTTGGAGTAGACAATTTTGCCCTCTTGATTGTACACCGGTTGCTGTTTCACGGCTTTGATGAGTGCCTTGGAGTCCTTTGAATCGCCATCCTCCTCCTCGTGCTTTAACGCACCATTGGTCAACTTTTTCTGCTTGACGTTCTCGTTCTTCAGATTCTTGGCCGAGGAGAGCATCAGCTTCTGGACACCCTTGCTGCGCTTCATCTTCTTGGCCTCGCGCCGCTTCTGCTGGCGCTCTGTGGTGGGGCCCTTCTTCTGGCGCAGTTTGTTCTTCATTGATGCCAGTCGCTCCTCTAGATCCTCATCCGCACCCGCTTCACCATTTGCCTTTTGTTTTTTGCTCTTTTTCTTAGGCGCTTCTTCGGTGTCCGACAGCAAGTAGTCCTCGTAGGTGTCATCGTCTGGAAGAGAATATATATGCACAATAATAATTAAATTTCATTTGTATTACCAGCTCGTACAAACCTTCCTCCTTGGAGTACGGCACGCCAGCGGTTGTCAGCAGATCGAGCAGGCGGTCACGATAATCTGTGTATTCCGTCAGCAGGGTTTCCTTCTTTTTCGTTGTACTACTTGGCTTGACGGACTCTGGGAAATACTTTTTCCTCATTTCTTGTAATATTTCCGTGGTGGACCGCATCTTGTTTAATTAAATTTTACGTTGATAAAAAATACAACTATTTTAACACGTGCAGATACATGCCTATCGATATATATAGAAAATACCTTCAACAGTGCTGTAAAGCGATTGCATTTTTCCGGCAGTATTGGATAACGATGACAGATTGTTAAGCGTCCGGCGTTTTGTATTTTTGCTAATTTTTTGTAATTAAAAAAAAAATGTTTTATCATGTGAGTTGTTCTGTTTTTTTTATTTTTACAGTAGCTGACTAACCACTACTCCCCTCAGATATCACTGGAACATGAGATTCTCCTGCATCCTCGCTACTTTGGACCGCAGCTGCTGGAGACGGTGAAGCAAAAATTGTACTCGGAAGTGGAGGGAACCTGCACGGGTAAATATGGTTTTGTGATTGCTGTCACGACCATAGATCAGATCGGATCTGGTGTCATCCAGCCCGGACAGGGCTTTGTGGTGTACCCCGTCAAGTACAAGGCCATTGTGTTTCGTCCGTTCAAGGGAGAAGTGCTGGATGCAGTGGTAAAGCAGATCAACAAAGTCGGGATGTTTGCCGAAATTGGACCACTGTCTTGTTTTATATCACATCATGTGAGTGGACAGATAATTAGCCTTTGAAATGATGTTATATTTAATGTTATTTCCATCCAGTCTATTCCCGCTGATATGCAATTCTGTCCGAATGGAAATCCGCCCTGCTACAAGAGCAAAGACGAGGATGTGGTCATCTCGGGAGAGGACAAAATACGTCTGAAGATTGTGGGCACACGTGTGGATGCCACAGGCATAGTAAGTTGTATCCTTTAGACACTTTAATGTCAGATTTTGATTTCTGTTTTTTTGCCACTAGTTTGCCATTGGCACGCTGATGGATGATTATTTGGGTCTCGTTTGCAACTAGGCAGGAAGTCAACCCTTTTGTTGATGTACAATTTAATTATATATATATATATTAAACTTTAATGAAATGCATTTAGACAGCTAAATATCTATGTGTATATATAGTAATAAATATGTACTTTATAAGATTTGATTTCGATTGAAAGAGGTACGTTTACATTTGTAATTTTTTTTTAGTTTGTTGTGTGTGTGTGTGTGAAAAGTGTAGCTACCAATGTGGATGGATGGATAAACGAACAAGAGCTATGCATAGTGCATAAGTAGTTACAATTATAGTAGCTAAAGAGATATAATTACAGGATACATACATATATACGATAGGTGGTAAGGTAAAGCACTTAAGTACATATATAAAAGCTGAAATCTAGAAGGTCCCTAGACCTAGACCTAGTGATTGCACATGTGGAAAAGAATCATAGAGTAGTAGAAGATTACGCGGCGATTGAGATACTGTTTTTGTTCAGATTGATTTGCGGACTGTTTAGGGTTAAGCCTCACAGATCCCACGAGAAGAGATGATGCTTGACGAGCATGTCGCGCACACCGTCCTTCAGCGGCTGCGACTCCTTGCCACGCTTCGGCGGCAGCTCCCAGTCTGGATTCAGATTGAAGGCAAACTGCGAGAGTATCCGCAGCTCGCACTTGATCTGCACCCAGCCGGGGGAGTCGATGAAGCTCCAGGTGTGGTACCATTTCTGCACCACCTCCTGGCAGGCGCAGAGCACCTCCAGCCAGAGATGTAGCACCTGTTCGTTGAGGCCCAGGCAGATGAGGGAGCGCAGCTTGACATCCATCTGAGCGTGGGCATCGTCGTGCGTCTGATTGATGGCCTGCACGCAGCGGTAGAGCAGCTCCTCGGGCGTCAACACCTTGCCATCCTCGTCCAGACGATAAGTTTTGCACAGCACCAGGCGGCTGTAGACGCTCTCAAAGTCCTTTTCCACTTCACGAGTGGCCGCCTCCTCGATGTACAGCCAGGGGTGGATGGGTCCGCCGAGGAACGAGGGCCGCTTCATGCCGTGCTCCAGGAAGGCCTTGATGGCTGGCGCCAGTGTGCCACGTACCAGATCCGTCACCGTCTCGGAGATGGCATCGTCGCCGGCGGAGGTGTACAGCTTACTGCGCTCATCCAGCAGCTCCACGAACTTGGCGGGAAACCAGCCCCGCAGTCCGTTCAGCTCGCCCACCCAGCAGTGCTCATCCTTCTGGCTGATGATGGTAATGATGTCGTTGCGTCTGAAGCCCAGCTCGTCGTCGTCGTGCCGCTCAAAGTCGTGCAGCGCCTTGGCGCGCCGCTTGCGCGTTCGAGCCACATTGATGAAATTCTCGTGGTCCTTGGCATGCGATTCGCTGCTGTAGTTCGCCGTCAGCTGGATGTGCCCCGCCAGCTTGGGCTCAATCGTGATGAAGTGCCGCCCCACCTTTAGTATGGCCTCGCGCAGATCCACCAGGATCTCCGTTTGGCGTATGTTCTTGTTCTTCAGCTGGTCAGCCTCGGAGCCGTCGCCGCGGAAGAGGAATGCCTCCAGTATGGATTTGCTTTTACGCACCTGCCTCCTGGCTAGCTGCTGCTTGGGCAGATTCGATGTGGCCTCGGGATTGCCTATTTGATGCCCCTGATCGGCCATGAGGTAGGCCAGGTGGCGACGTCGATGCGTGTCAATCACCGTCTGACTGAGCGAGCCGCCCACCTCCAGGGCCTGGCTGAAGAGCACTTCCACATCGGTGACCTCGCCCGGAATGTCCGAAAGGGAATTGAAGATCTGGGCAGAGTTCTCCAGGTGCTTTAGCTCCTGCTCCTTGACCTTGAGCATTCCCAGGGTGAGCTGGAAGAGCACAATGGATCCCTCGTAGAAGAACCAGTCCCATATCCGGACGAGAATCTTCATGTGCACGACATTGGCGAAGACCGTGAGGAACCAGTGGAGCGTAATCAGCGACAACTCAATGTCGTGCTTCTTGAGCGACTCGTCCACGTTGGTCAGGTAATTGGCGATGAGCGTCTGCATGACGCGCTGGTCCGCTTGGATGCCCAGCAGCGTGGAACTGTAGTACGAGGCGGGCAGCAGATCCTCCACAATGGTGGCCATCATCCAGAAGGCATTCTCCTCCTCCATGAACAGCAGCAGGCACGCGACAATGACGCCCGTGCCCTGGCAGTAGCCAATGTCTGGGAAGAGCCACGCAATGCCACGCAGGATGCGACGCAGGCGAGGAATGCCCGTGCCATTGGGATTGCTGAAGCACGCGTTTGTGGGCAGTATGCGCAGCAGGTCCTTTTCGATCTGCTTCGATGTCATCAGTTGGTCGTTGCTGGAAGCTAAAAGGGGAACTAATGTCACAAGAGACTCTCTATCTGTGGCGCTTAATCCTACCCTTAACAATGTCCTGGTAGCTCGTCTCGCTCTTCTGCTTCTTGGCCAATGCACCCGAGAGTCGCATCCACATCTGAGCGCGCAGTGTGTGTGGAATTCCCTGTCGCACCATGTTGCGCAGCTTCTCGGTGCGCGGCAGCATCACATCCACATGCTCCCAAGTGAGCTCCGTGGCCTCCTTGTTGTGCGAGAACTCCAGATGGGCTATCCACTGCATTCGCTGCTGCGCATCCTCCACAAACGGTATGCCAAGCAGTTTATTTGAGCTTTGCTCGGGTCCGTCCTCCTCCTCCACGCGAAACCCAAACTCATCGAAACGATACTCGGGCTGGTCGTTGGGCCCCGAGCCCAACTCAGCCTCACTGCCAAGCTTGGCAAGGATCTCCTGCGGCCACATGGAGGCAGTCAGAGCGGAGAATGGCCCCCCAGGGTTCGGTCTAACGCCATCGGCCACGCTCAGTTCTTCCATCATTGGCGGCAGCTCGCCCAGATCGTCTTCCGAGCCCAAGTTTTGCATTTTGCGCTGTGTTGGCAGTTGCCAGTCGCCAGTTGGTGCGTGGAGACGATAAAATATCAATTAGCTTTGATAAGCAATCTTTTCTGGTTAATTATCTGCGCTCTGCCCGTACTTACCGTATGTTCTGCACGGCCCACGTAACCATCGTGGTCCCTGCCGAATATGCTCCTGGCCATATCCATTCTGCTGCTCAACACGTTCTAGCCTGCCTTGAATTATGATATTTGGGCATTCAGTAATTGAGTTGTTCCCCTTTGCTTTTTTTGTAAGCTAACATAAATTTTCACTTTGCATTGTTTAGGTGTCAGTGATTTTCTGTTCACAGCTGTTCGATAGGCGATCAACGATAAGTTGTGCAATCGATTGGACTGCACCTGTTGAGTGTACCAAAAAAAAAAACAATGTTTATTTAGTTAAATAATGGGGTATTTTAAATTAATTCAGTTTAGTATGAAGATTTCGAAGTTTATTTCATAAATTTACTAGTTTTATCAACCGATAACAAAACAGCTGTTAAAATCGATAGGCAGCTTTCTGCATCCACCAACAAATGCATTGAACAACGCAAAATAAACATAATAATGCAGATAAAACCGATTATTACATGTGAGTGGCATACAAAACTAATTGGTACTCCCTTAAGACGTTCATTTTCCGATAGATTCCGGCTCCTGCCCGCTTTTCCGTTCGCTGGAATCGCAAATCCTGAATGCCATTCCTTTGGACACCTGCGAGTGGCGTCGAACCTTCCAACGGCCAACGAAACATGTTCGCCTGGAGGCCCAAACACAGCAGTTCAATGTGGCTCCACTGGAGAAATACAAGCAGGGAGACTGGAGCATATTGGAGCATCCAATTCTGCACATTTTTGTCACGGAATGCAATGTAAGGCAACGCCCACAATGTCATCAGAAACTATAAACTGTTCAACCACTTTTCAGGACATTGACACATACAAGGCCACCATTAGGGAGGAGATTGATGCCTGGCTTAAGGTTCTGAACAGCTATGGCATCTCGGACTGGATGATTCTGCTGGTGGAGACGCTGGACATGCGCAAGACCAAAAACTTTATGCCACGCACCACAGTCCTCGATAAGATTCGCCTCGACTTTGGGAGCAAAAACGATGATCGCTGCATCTCTGTGCTGAATCCGGCCAAGTTCGAGCAAAAGTCCACAGAGTCCTTCCGCTGCCTGGTGCAGCGCATACGCTTCCTTATGCTCACGAGCTACAACAGGAACATAGTCAAGTACGAGGAGATGATACGCGGCAAGCGGGAGAAGCGCAACCACGAGGGCTGGGACTACCGCCAGTACTTCTTCATGCAGGAGGATCTGGCGTTGATATTCGAAAAGCTGGAGCTGCCCACCGAGGCGCTGATCCAGTACGACGAATTGGACGCCATGTTCTCGCAGTTCATCACCCTCACGGGCTTCAACGAGAAGCAACAGTGGCTCGGCCACTTCAAGCGTCCGCTAAGCGCCTTCCATGGCATCTGTCTGACGCGCCTGGATCGATTTGAGATGCGCGAGAAGATCCGCGAAGAGGGCGTCTCCCTCCTGGAGTTTCGTAACTATCTGTTCGAACGGCAGGCGTATCTGCTGCTCACCAGCAACGATATACCCGAGATAGCCAAGCGACTGCTCAACTTTCTGTTTTCCACGCTGCGAGAAGTGGAGTTCATCAAGCTGGAGTGCCAGGAAGGCGCCCTGTGCTGTTGGGAATTCGTCTGCGCCCTGGAAGTGCTGCAGCTGTGCGAGCAGGCCATGGAGCCGAACGAAGTCACCTGCTTCCAGCACTGTGCGCCCATCTGGAACCTGGCCAAGGACAAGCTTTACGAGCTGGGCAAACTGTGCGGCCTGCTGCCCGGCTGCACGCCCACCTCCGAGCAGCTGCACATAGTCGTGCAGCTGTCGTCAGGCATTGGCGATGCGCCGCCCGATCAGCCGCAGCAGTTCCTGCAGGCCACGCCTCATCTCAGGGATCGCTCGCCCAATCGCAAGCCCAAGAAGTCGGCGGCCCAGCAGTTGAAGGAGGCCTTGGGCTCGAATCAGGCATTCCAGAAACTCTACCTGGAGCTGGCGGAGCTGGCAATCAGCACGTACAAGCATGTGGAACGCCTGCGCTCGGCCCGACTGGTGGGCCTGGATCTGGGCAACTTCTACTGCGCCCTGAACGAGCCGCACAAGGCCGTGGGCTTCTTTACGGATCTGCTGCGCGAGCTAAAGGCCGAGAACTGGCACATGCTGAGCTCCCAGACGCTGCTGGAGCTGGCCAACTGCTATCGCAAGATGGGCGACTCGCTGGCTTACACAAAGACCTGCAGTTCCATATCCTGCTGCGTCGAACTGGAGACTCTGGTGCGCACATTCTACTTTGATGAGTTCCTCAAGTCTATGAAGACCCTTAAGACCACACTCTCCGCCCAGCCATCGTCGGAGAATGCCAATTTCTGTGTGCTGGAGGATCACTTCCGCATCCTGGACATTGAGGTGCTCAACCAGAAGCCCATCATACAGGACGATCAAGTCCTGGTGCAGCTCAAACTGGAGAGTCTCTACCCTCGGAGCGTTGTAGCGGAGACCATCAAACTGTGCTACGAGCTGCAGGCCACTCCCCTTGAATTGGCCATGGAAAATGTGTCCCTGACGGCCACTCCATCCGCACAAAAGGTGAAAGAGTCCACATCGCGCTTGAAGGTGGAACTGCAGTTGGTATACAAGCAGGACAATCGACTGCACTCTGCCTCCGTGGCGTGTGATATGCCCAAAAGCAAGCAGCCCGTGCGACGCACCAGCAGCACCAAGCGAAAGCTCTTGCCCAGCGTCCAGGGTGACTTTACCAACTTTGTGCAGGCGGAGAACATTGCCCTGCAGCCTGGAGTCAATTGCATTGAACTGAAAGCCAAGGCAACGCGTGTGGGCAACTGGCAGTTCAAGCAGGTACGAGACTTGCTCCACGATTTATTCCCCCTTTATTTAATCCTCTGTTATTGCAGCTCTGTGTGAGCATGTCCAGCCTGGAGTTCCTCTCGGAGCAGCTGCCGTTTGCGGCGCCCTGCTTCGAGATCAGCACCAAGCCGGCCAGCGCCACGCTGGAGTTCAAGACGCTCATTGCGGGCATTGTGCAGCCCATCAGTCTGAATGTGTCCGGTGGCAGTTTCATCTTTCCAGCAGATGCCAAGATTACGCTGCGCTGCTCCAAGAATCTGCGCCTGCGACAGGCACAGGACACACATGACGATGCCTCGTTCGAGAGTCTGCTGCAGGTGCCACTACTCCACTTCAAGTCGTTCGAAGAGCGCAACATTCCGCTGGAGGTGCTGACGGATATGCCGGGCAGAAAGGTCTCCAAGCATCACGAGCATCACATTGCGCTGAGCTGTCCGTGGGCGCGCAGCGAGCTGCAGATACCCATCGAGTTTCAGCCGGCCATGGAGGCCACATGTCGGCTGCACACGTGCGGCACCCAAAAGTTCCTGCAGGTCATAATGAAGGGTCTCGATGCACATCTGCTGCTGCACCACGCCAAGGTCAAGTGCGATGTGCCTGGTGTTCAGCTGCTGGACCTCAACCCAATGCCCCAACAGCCCATTGTAAGAGGGACCCAAATCGAGTTCGATCTTCCCTGCTAAACTCGTTTTATTTCCACTGCAGGAAATCTATAAATCTCTGACTGTCACGTATCTGTACGAGATCCAAGTGGAACCCCTGAAGACCGAGCACGAGCTGCCCATTGTCAAGGTGCACTTTGTGATCAAATATGCGACCCTCACGCAGCCCGAGGTGTGGCGCAGCTACGGCTGTGCCTTCGACCTCGTGGACTACAGGACGCTCTTCAAGCTGCAGGCGCAGTTGGAGCCCAACGAGCTGTGTCGCCTGCGCACCGTGTGCAACATGAATCTGAAGATCAGCAAAGTGCACGAGAACCCATATACGGATCTCATGTACGAGGTGCTCAACGATCAGAATCTCTGGGCCGTTTGCGGTCGCTCTGCGGGTGAGTTTGCAGGTTGCGGCTTCGCGCTGTTGGTCTTTTGGTCTCGTTTATTTTATGATTTAATTCTGGTTTCTCTACACACGTTTCTCACACACAATCTTTAAGATATGGGTAAGTTGTTGTTGGTCCTTGGACACACACCCACACACACGTAGAACAATCCCTAGCGAAACTAACGCCCAGAACTTGGAGTAGATCCCACTTAGCAATCTCTTCCTCTGCTTTCACCCACCACTAACTTAAGCTTTCTTTTCCAATTTATGTGGACTTTCCTGGCTAATCTTTGCTCCATCATTTTAGGTGTCGTCTCCATGAAAGACGTGGACAGCCATTCCATATCCCTGGATGTGATGCCACTGAGCACTGGCTTCCTGCCGATGCCCAGCATTCGTTTGTCCAAATACACGGCTGGTGGCAAAACCAAAGCCGATGCCCACTCCAAGGTGCATCCCTTTCCGCCCGGACAGGTGTACAACTCTACGAAGAGCATGCAGATCCATGTGATAGCCAGCGTGGCGGAGAATCAGTGAACGACTCAATTACAACATCCATGGACCCGTGGGCTCCAAAGTATTATTTATATTTATAAAAGTAAAAAAAAAACAAAACGCCAAAAAAACCACTCAACATCAAGACTTGGAGCTGGCCAAATCGTTGGCCAGCTGGGACAGCTGCTGCTCCTCCACGCGGTAGTAGTGCCAGCCCTCTTTGGCGGTCAAATCGACGGCGCCCAGGCTCTCGTAGAACTTGCGTGCGGGATTCCATTCGAGCACATTGAACTCCAGTCGCGGGCACTTCAACTCGACCGCGCGGGCAGACACTTCGAGGAAGATGCGCCGGCCAGCGCCCCGCTTGCGATGCTCCGGCCTCACGTAGATGTCCTCCACAAAGAAATAGCGTCCCTGCCAGGTGGAATAGGCCTTGTAGCAGATCGAATAGCCAATGGCCAGTCTGTGGTAAGAAAATAAACAGAAATTGTTCTTATCAAAATTGGAAGGCGAAATGCTTGCCCTAGTCAAATAGATTTCCAGGTGTTCGAATTCTTATCGCATCGTTTGGGTTTACTTTACTCACTTGGTGGCATTGTCCACGAGCACATACACTTCACAGCATTCCTGTTCACCCGAGAGTCCTGCATCACGTATGAGATCTATTGGAATGGAATCTTTTGTGTGGATTTCTCTGATATACTGCCAAGTTCTTACCCTCTTCCGTAAGCTGTGGGCCATTGCTCATCTTTTCAAAGTCGGCCAGTTCCTAAAGATCATTGAAAAGACAGCTTGAAGAATGATTATCTAGTATGAGTCCCCACCTGGATCA